AAACTATTATTTTTTTTACATAATATTGTGTACTATTGTAATATTGTGTACCATAATGTCATTATTGTATTTGGTTTACTTGAACAAGAAAACCAGTAAAAACAATGATTTTTGTTGATGAAATTAACATAAATTGTAAGTACCTACAATGACATGTACTTAATAATGCCCACCAAAATTTCTAAATATGACATACATCTATAGATACACTACCATTTAATAGTTCAGGTTAGTTAAATTTATTTATTTATTCTTTTTTTTTTTAAGAAAAAAATAAATTCTTTGATTTAGCAAGGACTCTGTTCAAAGATCCTAAAACAGTTTGCACAAAAATTTAAATAAAAAAGCAGCACAACTGTTTTCAATGTTTTCAACATTGATAATAAGAAAGAAATGTTTCTTGAGCAGCAAATCAGCATAATAGAATGATTTCTGAAGGATCATGTGACACTGAAGACTGGAGTAATGATAATGAAAATTCAGCTTTGCATCACAGGCATAATTTGCATAACATAGAATACACTTATTTTAAATTGTAATAATATTTCACAATATTGCTGTTTTTACTGTATTTTTGATCAAATAAATAATCCTTGGTGAGCATAAGAGACTTCTTTCAAAAACATTAAAAAACTCCTACCAACTCTAGACTTTTGAACGGTAGTAAAATTGTACTTAATGTGTATATAATTTAATGTAATGATGTAGAAAATAATAGTTTAAATCATATCTCTGTATCCATCTGACCTTGAGCAGTGTGCAGGGGTCAGCGCGTGTGTACATGATGACTCCTTGGCTGTGCAGCGTTCTGATTCTCAAGCCCAGCTTCATGTCTCCTCTCCTATCACTGTCCGTCACTCTGTATTTGATGTAACTGTTCCCTGCAAAGCTCAGAGATGTTTGGCCTGCCAGCACAGGTACAGAAATCAGTCAGTCAAGGGCTAACACCATATTTCAAAATCTGCTATTTATACATACTTTCACAAAAGATATTCGTAGAAGTGTTTGGCCTCAATCACGTATGAAGAAATGTCATTTAAATACATATGTCTGACACACCCTCAGGATATTCCACAAGAGGGAACCGTTATTTTGAAGGGAAATGAATGTTTACGTAACTTTTGCCCACCATATCAAGCTAAAGGAAAATGCATTCTGAATTTTTGTCATGTATTAGTAGTGACACACTTGGAGCTGCCTGAGGGGCTCAAAATAAACATTTCTATATGGCATCACTTGTATTATATCATGCTATATGGTTTTCCCCAAAGTAAAAGCATGTTTTGGTAAGAACAAAATGTCTGTAGACATCCGTTGCAACAAATTTGCCTTACATATCCAATGTTTTCATGCATGCATCAATCCCCATTTGATTTCAAATGATTAAAAATATTATGCAGTAACAGACTTTTTTTGTATGTTTTGAAATTTTACACTAGTAAAGTATAATATTTAAATAAATGCACTTGAATTTTAAGACAATGTTTATTAGGTGAATCTCTATTCTCTATACTAATTTAAAACAAAATTATTACATAATCAAATAAATATATGTGATATATGTTATTTTTAATTTTGTATTTGCAATCAAAATATTTTTTTTACATCTTCCCTCAAATGCTGCAATTAAATGTGAAAAAGCATTTGAATATTTACCAGCTTACATGTGTTGAAAGTGTTGCAAACCCTCTTTTTTAAATATAAAATGTTGCTTTACCCAACATTATACATGGCCTCAAACCAGGGTTTAAAAGGAGCAGCGTGAAAAGCCTATTTGATCTAACCTGCGCACTTGTCCAGCGTGTCAGGCAGACACTGGCAGAAAGATGGCGCTGCAGGGCCGCTGCGCACACACTGCATGTCAGACGGACACGTTTGGCCATCACAGAGCTCCAGAGAAGATGGACATATTCCTCCTGCAGTGGGTACAAAAAGTTAGAAAGCAAGCAAATGGAAATTCTGCCACTCAAGCTACTGTTTGAATTTAATCAACCAGGATAAATAATGCATACTATGAAATGCCTCCTACAATAAACAGGGTTGCCACATTTGGTTACCTGGCTGGAGTGAGATTTTGATGGAATGGGCAGATCAATTACAGGCACCTATTTGAGGTTTTGAGGAGGCAACAATTCATTTTTTATTTGATCTTAATACTTAAGGTTACTGTAGTACAGTTTTTATTACATTTTCAATACTGAAATGCATGCTGTTTACCTACCTAATGTTTTAGAGGGGCACCAGTAAGTAATATTAATAATAATAATAATAATAATAATGCTCCTAGTCAAAAATGTGCCTTTTATAAATTGCTTGTAAATCTCTCATTATGCCATATTATCACCAAATATTGGATTCAATCGTTTTGTCAACTTGTTTTCTTTCATTAACACTGGTTTTTTATTTATCTTTGGAACTGATTGGTCATTGGCGTCATTGATCTGAACTTATGCACCTCCGATTTTGAGGGGAAAAAAAGCATAATTTGCGGATAATTTGGGCAATATTTACTCAAAAACTGATTGAAAGAAAACAAGTTGATAAAAAAAGACTGAATCCAATATTAGGTAATAATATAAACTGATTGAAAGAAAACAAGTTGATAAAAAAGACTGAATCCAATATTAGGTAATAATATAGCATAACGAGAAATGTATATGCAATATGCCAAAAGTGTAACTAGGTGGAGGGGGGAAAAATCCTCAAAAAAAGTACAATAATTATCCAAAAAAAAAAGAAAAGTGAAGTTGTTATACCCTGTGGGAGCAAAGTCAGCAGGTTTTAGTCTAATGCAATAAAATTAACTAGCATTTTTGGGGAAAAGAAAATCCTCTCCAGGACAAATAAATGACCAGAACACAACATGAGAGTTGAGATTCCATTATAGTTACTGTTCCTATAAAACATACTTTCTTGCGTAAATTTGATGTTCAACAACAATATTTGATGACATTTCTAATATTTAATCTAAATTATCGCTCATTTTTCTCTGTTCTCTGCTTTATATGTATTTGACGTTTAAAGTTAGCTGCTATTCGCTTGCTCTTATGTTTTGTGAAATGGAAATATGCACCTGACTTTGAAGTCATAACTTTTTACCAGAATAAAGAATATAAGAATATAATGTAAGTCAAGCACATTTAGCATTTTCTTGTTATTTTCCCTGAGATGTATTAAGGTTAGCATGAGAACCTGAAAGCATGTGTCTCACGCCAATTGTTTGAGATCTGGCAACCCTGGAATAAATCTGAATCAGTTTTATCATTTGAGACAAAAAATTAAATCGCTAACCTGGACACGTGCACATCTCTTTCCTGCTGAAGCATGGAGACACAAAGCTCACTCTGGAGGTGGTGTAGGTGACCAAGCCGATGGGGTTGAGACTGAGGGTGAGCTCACAGACTCTCTCCCCGCACTCAAGCTCTCCTGAGCAGCTCTGATCCAAGACGCTGACCACCCTCAGCGCTCCCTTTAGGAAACCCTTCACCCCCTCCAGCTTGAGAGTCAGCTCTCCTGGACCCATATAACCCCCATCTGGTGTCTCCATGGCAAGGAGCACCTCCAGCTGACTGGAGCGACTCAGTGGCTGCACTCCCAGGATGTGAAGAGGGTCTGGTCCATCAATAACACCTGTCCCATCACCAACCAGTGAGGTATGGAGCACCTTCTTTAGCTCTTCCATGTACACACCCACAAAGTCCTCAGGGGACAGGTCTTGGAAACGCAGAGTCACTGCATTCTGCACCATCTCATCCGTGGCTTGCTCCACCTGGACGCTAACGCCCACGGTCACAGAAAACCGCCCATCACTGACTGTAGCATTTAGGGAGTATCTGAAAAAAAATGTTACTGAGCATTACTGATCATTAGGCAGCTATGCAAAAACATATATTTTATTCTATAAAATCTCAATTCTGAGAAGTTGCAATTGTGACGAAAAAGTCAGAATTATGAGAATTGTGACAAGACTGTTTCTGCCAAGGAATAAAATATTTTGACTTGACTTTTTAATCATACAATATCAGTTCAGTATCATATAATCTTTTTCAGAATTGTTTGACTTTTTCTCAGAAGTACAATAAAGAAAGTCAGAATTGTCAGATATAAACTCAAGTTGTAAAACATTTATTTATTTTAAATTCTGAGGTATAAATAAACTTCCATAATTTGATGATGAAGTTCACATTAAACAAATAATCTGGGAAGAATTTTACAATGCCTTCATTTATTCTGGCTATTTTTCAAATGCTTTATATATATATATATATATATATATATATATATTATTGTTTTATGCTTGCCCTAGAATATTATTTTTTTTTATTATTTTTTTGAATGATATGATAGTCTAAACAAAGAGTGAAATAAACTTTATGTTTTGAAAAATATTTACATCAAATTACACAATTATTGACTGTGCCACAGCAGTCATTTCCTCCACCACAACTACATCAATAGTTTTTCCTCTGAATAGTTTTTATTTCTTACTTGTAAAATCCAATAAGTCAGAAAATTATTAATTGTGTTGTCTTTATTACGGACAAATAAATAAATAAATAACATTAGGAAGTGTTGGACTATTACTAGTTTAGTTAAACTATTTAAATAAAACAGTAAGGGTGTGAAAGAGAGTTTTAGGGAAATTATTTTTATATTAGGGTCCACAGGCCAAAATAGCCCATAACTGAAGAAATGTACATTTCAAAATAAATTCACATTTATTTTACCTTCCAGGCTCCAGGCCATTTAGTGCCACAATCTTCCCGTCCTGTCTGTTGATTTTGAAAAGACTGTTTGTTTGTGATCTCTGACTGAAAGACAGAACATCATTCTCATCTCGGTCTGTGGCATAGATCTTCCCTATAATCCCGCCAGGAAACACATCTGCTGCCATGACAATGTTGATTTTATCATATAATCTTTTTCAGAATTGTTTGACTTTTTCTCAGAAGTACAATAAAGAAAGTCAGAATTGTCAGATATAAACTCAAGTTGTAAAACATTTATTTATTTTAAATTCTGAGGTATAAATAAACTTCCATAATTTGATGATGAAGTTCACATTAAACAAATAATCTGGGAAGAATTTTACAATGCCTTCATTTATTCTGGCTATTTTTCAAATGCTTTATATATATATATATATATATATATATATATAATTGTTTTATGCTTGCCCTAGAATATTATTTTTTTTTATTATTTTTTTGAATGATATGATAGTCTAAACAAAGAGTGAAATAAACTTTATGTTTTGAAAAATATTTACATCAAATTACACAATTATTGACTGTGCCACAGCAGTCATTTCCTCCACCACAACTACATCAATAGTTTTTCCTCTGAATAGTTTTTATTTCTTACTTGTAAAATCCAATAAGTCAGAAAATTATTAATTGTGTTGTCTTTATTACGGACAAATAAATAAATAAATAACATTAGGAAGTGTTGGACTATTACTAGTTTAGTTAAACTATTTAAATAAAACAGTAAGGGTGTGAAAGAGAGTTTTAGGGAAATTATTTTTATATTAGGGTCCACAGGCCAAAATAGCCCATAACTGAAGAAATGTACATTTCAAAATAAATTCACATTTATTTTACCTTCCAGGCTCCAGGCCATTTAGTGCCACAATCTTCCCGTCCTGTCTGTTGATTTTGAAAAGACTGTTTGTTTGTGATCTCTGACTGAAAGACAGAACATCATTCTCATCTCGGTCTGTGGCATAGATCTTCCCTATAATCCCGCCAGGAAACACATCTGCTGCCATGACAATGTTGATTTCCAGTGGGAAGGCCACAGGTTTGAAGAGGCTGTCTCCGATGACACGCACAAACACAAAGGATGTGGAGGACAGACGAGGCTTCCCTGAATCACGTGCCTTGTTGACAAGAACAAGATCACACTGTACAATTCTAACAATTTAAAGCTTCATCAAACTAAAGAAATGAATTAAATCCCTTAGAAATGTCACAGCAGCTACATGCACGTTTCTCCATCTACAGGCACTTTTATATTCCAGAGATTGATTTTTATTTAAACAGATTTCTCTTTCTGTTATATGAAGGTCACATTAAAGTTGCATAAGAACCTTTTGTCTATTTATTTATTTAACTATTAATTATTTCATTCATAAATGTTATTTTCCAATTATTATATACAACTTTTATTGTTTTATCCTTGTCATAAACCCAGACTTTTGTCATAAAATATGAAAATCCATCATAAAAATATGAATTATATTTAAAACTATGATAATCAAACAAGGAGATAAACCAATTTTATTAAAGGGGTCATATGATGCGATTTCAATTTTTCCTTTCTCTTGAGTATCAGTGAAGAGCATACTTGATATGAAGTATGGGACCTGTGATTCAAAGTGGATCAAAACCTTTCATCAAAGTTGTCCTAAAACCAAAATGCGTTCTTGACTTTGGACAACTTTGAGTGATTTTTTTGATCCACTTAAAATGTTGACTACTATTTAAAATGAGTTATAAAATTAGCCTCAGAAAATCAAAGAAGTCAGACATTTCATTCTGGAAAAATGTGTTTACAGAGGTCAAAAGTGCTCATAGTTGAAGAAACACCTGCATGAGAATTCTGTAATTCTGAATTCACTTTTAACTGACAGTTCACTTTTTTGAGCTGTTGCACTAACCTGTATCTCAAGCGTATACTCTCGTGTTGCATCAGGACCAAATACTCGGCTTGTCCGTAATTCTCCATTCTGGTCCAGACTGAAAGCATTGCCCTCATTTCCAGACACGATACGAAACTCAAAAGGTGCACCATTTCTAGAGGAGTCCTTATCAGAAACTGATAGTGAGAGGATGGTAGTTCCTGCAGGCTTGTTCAACTTGAGAAAAAAAAAGAAAACAGAATTAAGATAGTAATTTTGAAATTCAAAAAAAGGTCTAAATCGCAAGATTTTCATATTTTCTGAAGAAAATGTGAGTGATGCTTGACCATACAAAAGTCTATACTACAATGCTAGTGTGCTGTTGGTGGTTGCCTGGTTGTTGGTATGAATTCATTGAGTGTCCAGGGTAATTGCTAGGTGGTTGTATCCTAGACCTAATCAAAACGCCTACCCTAAATTTATATGACATTCCAGTCCATATACAGTATATAGCTCAGGTACTTCCTTTAGAGTAAGTCTATGAGATTTCTTTATAAGTCACAGCACACCTCTCCTCAACAAGCAATACAATTAATTTCCATAGGGAGATGAGTTACGTGCCGAAATGTAATACTTAAAAGTAGGGGAACTGTATTTCAATATTTTTTTACAATATATCTCAATATTTATGTATTTGGACCAAAATGGCTTGAAAGGGTGATTTTTTAAAAGAGTACCCTTATTTTCAAGTGCTAAATGATAAGAGCAATACATATAATATAGCAATACAAAATATAATGTATTCAGTAGATCATTCAGTCCTAGTTCAGAGATCACTGAAATCTCTAACTCTAAGCACAAGCAACAGTAACATGTTGCATATAGGTATGTGACAATGTCTATTGTTGCAAACAAAAGAGTTAAAACTGTCTCTCACACCTGAATAACAGCTGAAGCATTAGCGGGAGAGAAGATCGGCGGGTTGTCGTTCACATCGGCAATCTCGATATTGACATTCACAGTGGTTGACTTGGCAGGTGACCCGCTGTCAAACGCTTGCACAGACAATGAGTAGCTGAAGACCTTAAGCAACCGAGACAGGAGGATAAATGTCAGGCAAAAACAGTTCAGAACGACTCAACTCTCGATAAATGTCTTTTTTTAAAAAGAACAGGACTGTTCGCTCACCCACAGTCACTCAAAAGCCTCAATTTCAGCCCTACACTGCCTAATTAAAGACTTTACGGCTGATTTAAAGATAATTGGCCAAAATCATGCAATATCTCAGGAGAGTGTCTAGAAGAGCCACAGCGCAGGGATGTCAAGATTCATTAGCAGAGCTCATTCCAAGCACTAACCGTCTCTCTGTCCAGTGCCTTGTTAACTTTCAGAAGCCCGGTGACAGGGTCGATCCAAAACTGATTTTCACGGTCCCCTTTCAGAATGGAATAAGTGATACACCCATTGATCTGACTGTCCAAGTCTTCTGCGAACAGCTGCACATAACAAACACAGATAACAAACTTATAAATTCTAGCATATTTGAGAGCAAAGAGGCTAAAACTCCCTGAATTTATACGGATCATGAAGCAAATTACACCCTCCTACGGTAAATTATATTACAGCTCAAGTACACAGTACAAATTAATAACTAATGTAAGTTCATTAAGGGGATTTATGCGAGCAATAAGCTTAATTACATGCTAGCTGTGAAATTGAAATTATGTCTGCGGCTAATTAAATGCCAATGAGGTGGCTCGGCTAATGAGAGAACTTTACCCTCGTGACCGTTTCTCCGATGGCTATGTCCTCGCTGATCAGAATATTGTAGATGTCCTCGCTGAATGAAGGCGAGTTGTCATTGACATCCAGAAGCTCTATGGTCACTATTGTCGTGGCTCTCAAGGGAGGTGTTCCATCATCAAAGGCCTCGACATTCAAGAAAAAATCCTTGCAGAGCTCATAGTCAAGATCATCCGCCACAGAAATGATGCCTGAAATCATGCGAGATATGAGTCAGAGTAAAGCCAATTAATTTATATGAATATGACAGACAACACAGTTACATAACTCGCAATACAAAGGCTCCTTGGGACGCATTAAAAGCCTGAATATTTAGTTCACGCACAATAGCCAAAAGAAAGTACTTTCCAGCTGCGCCTTCAAGAGCTTAATTCTTTTAAAGTATGGGTTTAGGCTAAAGCACTTTACGCTTTTGTCAAAATTGAATGCATGGGAAGTGATATAACTATAAAAATGATGTGGTTTCCACTGACTGCCCGCATCTTTTTAAGAGACAAAGAGCGCTCTCAATAACCGTTCACATGTTTTCTGCATGTTAAGCACTGTTATTAGTGTTTCTTGGAGCATTCATAACTAATTTTCCCATTCACTGCACTTATATTGTGCTGTTTTAACAGACACAATTTATCAAATCATTATGTCTTGTCTACAGTCAATAGACTTTCTTACATTTCTTTCAATGATTCGTGAAAAAGCAACGATAAATGAACTGACAATAAGCCTTTGTCTATTAATCACAAGTGAGCTCCCAGAAGAACTCTAACAAAACATTGTTAGACCAGAAATACATTTGATATATGCAGAAAACATGCGTCTCTCTGCCTTGCCTGTTGAATCATCAATGGAAAACTTCCCCAGCTCATTTCCAGACAAGAATCTATAGTAGATTTCTGCATTCACTCCAATGTCACTACTTGTGGCAAAGACTCGCAGCACTTCTGTTCCTACAGTAACATCTTCAGGCACTGTGACCACGTAATCTTTCTTTTGAAACACAGGTGGGTTGTCGTTCACGTCCAGAACCATGATGGTGAGGTCCACCTCGGTGGAGAGCGAGCCATCGCCCCCTGCTCGGTCAGTAGCCTTGATTCTGATCTGATACGAGTCTTGCACCTCTCGGTCCAGAGGCTTCTCCAGGATCACCACACCAGCGGATGGGTCAGTGGAGAACATACCACCAGCAGAGTCAACAAGTGAGTACACGATCTTCCTGTTTAGACCTGGGAGAAGGCATATTTTTGGACTATAATTTTGTTAAAATAAAGAATACATCAGACATGCAATGATGATGTTTCCAAGTTTTATGATCCAAAAAGCAACTTGGATCATTGGGAAAAAAAATATGGCCTTGCTATAGACACGTTGTACTTAAAAAGATTATTCTGCTATTTTTAAAAATAATTATTTTGAGTTGATATTTATAGTTTTTAAAATCACATTGCAGGACTATTCAAAATTAAGTGGTGGAGGAAAAAAGCATCAGTCACAGAACCTCTTATACACTCATATAAAGTTGAACCTAAATGTTACACATGTGAAATACTAACCTTCATCTGGATCATTAGCCCAAAGGCGTGTGAGCAAGGCCTTGGGTGCCGCGTTTTCATATACACTCGCCATGAACCGTGTGAAGGCAAATGATGGTGCATTATCATTAACATCCAGAATGGTCAGAGAAATTTCAGAGCGACAGAACAGCCCCCCTCCATCTGTAGCCTGTGCTATCAACTTATAACCTGCAGTTCTCTCACGGTCCAATAAAGAGGCCGTCTTCAGTTCACCTGGCACCAAAACAGAGAGACATAAGAAAAGTGTAAAGACTCACAGAATGGATTTCAGAACCATGGGCCAGAGCTACATTAAGTAAAAACTTCAGTCAGATGAATAAAAGATATTGTAAGTGATGGATGATGGTGCTAACTATTTATTTGTCATAAATGTTTCATTCAATCAAGACTTATGACGTCAATGAATTAATTACTAAATTACTGTCATCTATCTAAAGACACTTTCAACTTTTCTGTCAAGCTGGGATAACAGGCAAACTTGTATTAAATATATCTGAAAACCTAAATAATATTCAATTTATTCAAATAAATTGAAGGCTGGAATACACTACACAACTTTTTCAACACATGGTTACAGAGAAAAAATGGGCATCATACACTAAAGCAAGGATCATACACTGCCATACTCGCAAATCACTGCAAACACAACAAACTCATGCATAAAATTTCTAATCAGCTCAAAATATCAAACATGTTTGATATCCTCAGACATAAAAGAATCATAGTCTGTCATAAGAAATCTAGGTAAAACTGTCAACTCCAAACACTCTCCACCAACATTTGGAAAGTATATGAGTTCATTGTTAGTCATGGGCTGGTTTTATGGATCCTGGATTTTTAACTTGTAGGGAGCAAAGGGTTAAGATGAATAGTGTTTTATCAGATACACGTTGTACATCCATTGGGTCTCCACAGGGCTGTGTACTGTCATCAGTTCTTTTTATCATTTATACAAATGCGTTATGAGGATAACTATTATGTTGTTAAATATGCAGACGATACAGTTTTCCTATCCTTGCTATCAAGCTCAAAACGTGACGATAGCCATGCAATTCTTAAAGGGATACTCCACCCCAAAATGAGTAAATTACACTGCATCACCGTAGCGTCATTTTGGAGAATATGCGCTGAACGCAAGCAGCATATGCTATTCTGTGTCAGCCGCGACACAAGGATACGTTTTCTACGTGTATTTACGCTTTGATTTGAATGAAAACAGCGCATCCCTGCAGCGCGGCTGACACAGAAGAGCGTACGCTGCTTGCGTTCAGCGCATATTCTCCAAAATGGTGCTACTGTGATGCGGAGGGACACAGAGGAGACGAATTGTTGAATAAAGACGTTATTTTTGTTTTCTTCGCATACAAAAAGTATTCTCGTAGCTTCATAACGTTACGGTTGAACCACTGATGGCAGATGGACTATTCTGACGATGTCTTTCATACTTTTCTGGACCTTGACAGTGTAATTTACTTGGCAGTCAATGTGACAGTCACAAGCCTCCCGGTTTTCATCCAAAATATCTTAAATTGTGTTCCGAAGACGAACGAAGCTTTTAGGGGGTTGGAACGACACGGGGGTAAGTGATTAATGACAAAAATTTTCATTTTGGGGTGGGGTATCCCTTTAAGTTTATTACATGGTGCAACAAATCATAGCTAAGACTAAATATTAAAAAACAAAAGAGATGGTGATTGATTTCAGAAAAAAAAATGCTCCAATAGTGCAACCACTGCTTATTCAGGACAGAGAGGTCGATAAAGTAGAGGAGTACAAATACCTTGGTACAATTTTTGACACAACTTTAAAATTTCAGCAGAATATGGAGGCTATTATCAAGAGGGTTCACCAAAGAATGTTTGCACTGAGGAAACTGAATTATTTTTTTATACAAAAATCTATTTTGAGTGTATTTTATAATAATTTTATTGAGAGTGTCTTAAGTTTTTCATTCTTATGGTGGTTTGCATCTATTTCTATTAAGAATAAGAATCGCCTCCAAAATATAGCTAGAACTTGCTCAGAAATTACTGGTGTGCCACTGCGGAGCCTAACTGAATTTTATGGGCAGCAAGTAATAAGGAAAGCTAGGTGTATCATGATGAATAATGACACGCGCCCCTTGCACTTTGAGACAATGCCTTCTGGTAGACGGCTTAGAAGTATTAAGTGTTTGACCAAACGATATAAGGTTACCTTTGTACCAGAAGCCATTCATATTTGCAGTTTGAATTTTATTAAGGACTCTTAAAGTGTTTGTATTACTTACATATTATATAAGTGGCTGGATTGAATATGAAGCATGTTGTATTGTTGCAATTTGTAATTATGTGGAAGTGTATGTATTAATGTTTTTTTGTCAGAGAAAACGTCTGTACAAAATCATGTAGTGTATTCATTCAAGCCTTAAGAAACTGAAAAATTAAAAGTGTCAAAAGTATAAAAGCATGTCAAAAGCAGTTTGTACAGAAATACCAGTATTTGCATCCATGTAAAAATCTTCAACACCAATGCCAAACAGAGAATACTGAATTTCTGCATTGACACCACTGTCCAAGTCTGTTGCTCCAACTGTCAGAATGGCAGTATTAACAGACACATCTTCTGGAAATGAGGCCTCATATTGCGCCTAAAAAATAATGATGAAAATGTATTCAAATAGTGTATTGAATTCTTAATACTTTTGCATACCAAAACTTCCTTTACATACATCAGTATGCAAGCATTAAACATTGTAGTTGTTAACTTGGGCTGTATGAGATGACAAATGCCAGCCTAAATCAATTGCTCAGACCTGATTGCAGATGGGGCTGTTGTCATTGGAATCCATGACAGTGACCTCCACGCCTATGCGGGTTACAAACAGGCCGTCGCTGGCTGTGATATTGAGCAGGTATCGATCCTGCTCCTCTCTGTCCAAAGGACGCTTCACGAAGACCTTCCACTCCCCCTGAACAGGAGCCAGCGCAAATACCCCCTTGGGGTTTCCTCCTGAGTCAAAAAGATGGCAACAGAATTGATATAAAAGAGCAAGGTAGATTTGTGAATCTCTGTGATGGCCTGCACAGAGACCAAACGATCATTTCCATAAACACATTACAGTGTTTATATGCTGTAAGGTGCTATTGTTCTTTAAGTAGAATAAAACAAACTGCATATATTTCATAAACTGTTTTGAACACATCAAATTAAAATGTGCTTACATCAAAATAACTCTAAGAGCATGTTAAGTGAACCAGAACACTTAGGGACACTTTTGGAGAGGGTATATATTTTATCCCAAGTTATTGGAAACAATAAACTGAGCTTAATTCTAACAATCTATTCACATCCCCAGATGGGCTTTAAACAAAGTAATGTGACACATAAAGCAAATGGCTCTTTACTCATATAGCTTTTGAACACTTAGTTCATTAAATTAAACCCTTTCAATGTGATTATCTTACCCGGAGAGCCTCCGTGAGCCATAAATCATACTCCAGTGGCCTACTTTAATACGCACCTGTGATATGGAAGCTGACAAGCCGATTCTGATCAGAGCTGTCCCCATCATGAGTGCTCAGCACCGAAACCACTTCTCCCAGAGGGTCGCTCTCTCGCACAGCACCTCTGTAGTACTCTCTCTCGAAAGTAGGGGGGTTGTCATTAACGTCTGCGATTGCAACGGTCACTACAGCTGTGGAGGAAAGTGAGACACCCTCTCCTAGATCAGATGCCACCACGTTGAAGGTGTAAGATGGGCACATCTCATGATCCAAGTCACCGAGAGTGGTGATCCAACCAGTCTTGCTGTCAATAACAAACATGGCACCAGCGGCAGATTTAGATCCACTAGCTTTGTCCTGCTCTTGGTTTAGGGTTGGTCCAAGGCTGTAATTAACCTGTCCGTTAGATCCCCAATCAGGGTCAAGCGCTCGTACCTGGATAACCCGTGTACCCCTAGGCATACCTTCCATAACCATGGCCACATAAGAGCTGGTTTCGAATAACGGTTTGTTGTCATTCACATCCAGCACCTTGACTTCTACATCCACTACAGACATGGACTCAACCAGTGACTGTCTCATGGTGGCTGCAACTTTGAAACGGTAAATGTTGATGAGTTCATAATCAAGGGGGTTAACAAGCCTTAGAAGTCCAGTTTCTCTCTCAACTAAAAATGTCCCACCCTGGTTACTCTCCCCAGTCTCTCCATTCGCCACAGAAAAGAAAGCTGTCTGGCCAGGACTTAAGTACACTGATCCCAAGACTGTCCCAACAGGTATGTCCTCTGGGACCGTGTAGGAGTACTGGGGTTGGGTGAAGGAGGGCACATTTGCATCAGGTGGTAAGACATGAATAAATGCAGACACGAGGGAATGTTTGGCTGGAACACCTCCATCAGTAGCTTTGACAAAAAAGGAGAGAACCGTTCCTCTTAAATGCGCCATGCTTCCCTTTGTGACCATCCAGCCACTGTCAGGCTCAATCTCCAACACATCCACAAGAGGAAGCCTTGCCTCACTGTACAGCGAGTAGCTAACTCTGCCATTGTCGCCGGAATCTGGGTCCTGAGCCCGGATTTGAGTCACCAGCGATCCCATTGGCACATTAGCCTTTATGCTAACTCTATACTCCATAGCCCTGAAACGTGGCGCATTATCATTTTCGTCAGCAAGAATTACCCTAACGGTGCAGAAGGATGCTCTTCCCCCACCATCGAGCGCCATAACAGTTAGCACAATGTCTCTGTTTACTGGGTTCTCTCTGTCGAGTTTCTGAGCTGTAGTTATCAGGCCATTGGCTCCAATGTAAAACTGAGTCTTTCCAAGGTCATTGATAAAGGAATACATGATCTGACCAAAAATTCCTGAGTCCTCATCTGTAGCACGCACCTGAATGACTTTGGTACCTGCTGGGGCATTCTCACGGACCTCCGCTAAGTAGAACCTTTGACTAAAGACAGGGCTGTAAAGGTTGGCCCCCATGACTCGAATGTTCACCTGTGCAGTGTTGGTGAAGACCCCATCTGATACAGACACATTGAGGCTGTATGCTGGCCTTATCCCCTGTCTGCGCTGACTGGACAAGTAAATAACACCTGTCTGAGAGTCTATTATGAAGTTAATTTTCTCATCTCCAGAGAGTATGCTGTACTTCAAACTCTTGGCATCTGAGCTGTCTGAATCAGAAGCTTGGACACATGTCACAATGTGCCCTCTGGGAGCCAGTTCACTCACAAAAGCTTCGTAAAGTGGCTGGCTGAAGGATGGTGGGTTGTCATTCACGTCACTCACTAAGACGGTGACCGTGACCTCACTGCTCTGGGATGGGGAACCGTTGTCTGTTGCCCTAACGATAAAGCTAAAGCTCGGTGTAAGTTCGTAGTCCAGAAGACGAGCTGTTAACACGAGTCCACTAGTGCTGTCAATGTGGAAGTAGTCTGTGCTGTTAAATCCATCAGAGAGGATTTGATAGCTAATTACACTGTTTTTTTCAGAATCCTTGTCGGTCGCCCAAAGCTGTATCACGCTAGACCCGATCATTGAGTTTTCTGGCAAAGTGGTGGTGTATGATGCATTACGAAATGCAGGGGCATTGTCATTTACATCCACCACAACTATGTCCACATCTACTTCGGATCTGGCTCCAGTGAGAGTGTCTGTAGACCTGATGGTTAGCCTGTAGTAGGGTGTGGTTTCATAGTCTAAAGGATATATGACACTAATCACACCACTGTCAAAGCCAATGTCAAATTGGAAGGAAGGATCCCCTTCCACGATAGTATATATAATGTTTTGGCCCTCTGGGCTGCTGGCATTTATGCATAATATGGGAGTTGACACTGCAATATCCTCTCTAACTGATATGCCATAAAATGACTTGTCAAAAACAGGCATGGCCTTGTTCACAACTGTAACTGGAAGCTCGACAAAAGTGAAGAGAGAGGGGTAGCCTGCATCACGTGCAAGGACGACCAGCAGATATTCAACATTGGACAAGTCTGCATCAAAGGCCCTTTTAAGAGTAAGCTCCCCAGTGAGCTTATTCACCTCAAAATGTGGATGGTCCTCCTTAAGCTCGTAATATACAGCTCCATTTATCCCTTTGTCCAAATCTGTCGCAGACACCTGGAAGATGGATGAGCCAGGTTCTGCATCAACCTGCACAGCAGCATAATATGGAAGGCCTAGAAACTCAGGGGCATTGTCGTTAACATCCTCAACTTCTACTCTGACGGTTACTCTAGCAACTCGCAGCTGGTCGTATTCTCTACTCGCCTCAACCACCAGCTCATACAGTTCCTGTTGTTCTCGATCGAAAGGGACTCCTGTGGTTTGAATGACTCCTGATGTGGGACGAATTGTAAAGCGTGTCCCTGCATTCAAAAGCGTGTACTTTAGTGGTTCATTTAAGCGGTTTCCTACAGCATTTACAATGCTCACAGTGGTAATGTTCACACTGTTCTCCAGTACAGAGGAGGAGTATGTGGTTTGACTGAAGAGGAGGCCACTGTCCATAGCCTCCCTAACTAACACAGTCACGAGTGCTGTGCAAAAGTACCGCCCGTCTGACACTTTGACATTGAAACGATAACGGTCTTTGGAGAGTTTATTGTTTTTGACCGTGAGTATGCCTGATGATGAATCCATTTCATAGTGCTCCAAATTGCTATCAGCCAAGGAATACATCAGATCAGTGGTCATGTCAGGATCAGTGGCTTCTACTCTCAGAACCTCAACCCCAACATATGTTGGAAGAAGCAAAACAGTATCATAAGCTTCTTGTGAGAACTGAGGGGGAGAGTCATTGATGTTCACAACCCTGATTAGGACCTTGGCTGGCTTCTCTGCTGTTAGCTGAGGCCTGCCACTGTCCCTCACATTAACAGAAAAATAAAAAGCACTGAATGTTTCATAGTCCAGTTTAGCTATAGTTCTGACGGAGCCTGTTCCTGAGTCTACAGTAAAGAACAATTTTGCTGTGTCCTCCACAATCTGGAAGACCAGGAGGGCATTGTGATTCTTGTCAGCATCTGTGGCTTCAATTACCAGGGGCTTTCCATCCTCACTTATCACCACACTATTGATGGGGGCCGCCTCACTGATGGTCCCTGTATATGTGAGCTCCTGAAAAACTGGAGGATTATCATTTTCATCAACCACTTGGATGCAGACAGTGACACTGGAGGCAATCCCAGCCATGTTTACAGCCTGGATCGCCAGCATATATGAGGAGGTCATCTCAAAGTCAAAATTCCTTTGTGTTGTGATGACACCTGTGTAACGGTTTATTTTAAACCTCCTTTCATCATTTCCTTGTATAATGTCATATATCAATGTGGTTCGGCTAATTGCACAGACCAATATGACAAAAGTCCCGATAGCCACATTCTCAGTGATCTCAGCCTGGTATTCTTGCTGGGCAAACTTTGGACTGGAGAAATCAGACAGAGAGATGGCGATCCTAGCAGTAGTTGTGCTACTTAATGCCGGAGTACCTCCATCTGTGGCTCTCACAGTAAGGGTATAAAAACCCACAGTTGTAAGGTCCAGCTCTCTGGCTACTGAAATTATGCCAGATAATGGATCTACTCCAAATATGCCACCAGTAATTCCTGTGAAAAAATTACACGTACCTGTCAGTTCATGATGAAAAGGGGCATGTCGGGTAAAGGATATATCAAAGATAAATCTTAAGATTCATGACAGGTTAAAAGAATGAGCTAATGCATCACACTCTGTGGAACAGACAATCAGTTTTACTCAAAACAGCTGAACAATGGAAATGTTATCAGGGAGCGTAATAAATTCAAGAGATGAGAACACGGTGTTTACCTGCAACAATTGAGTAAACTATCTCCCCGTTTCTCCCTGAGTCTCTGTCTAGTGCGATCACCTGCAAAGATGACGTTCCTGGAGGGGAAGACTCAAACACTGTACTGTCATAAATAGTGCGAGTAAAAAAAGGAGGCTGGTCATTGGCATCCTCCAAGGTCACAATAATCCGTGCCAGGTCTCTATAATAGGGAAATTCTTGATCTTTCACCTAAAAAAGAGGAGGAGATATAGGGCAACAGACCTGAAGAGAAAACCTAAGATTTTGCATGGAAAAGATTTGTGAAGAAACAAGTAAAAAGAGAAAAAGGTAAAAAAAAATAAATAAAAAAAAGACAGCAGACAGAAAGGAACAGTTAAAAATGTAAATTGTCACGATATCAAATCTGGTATGCTGAGCTATATGTATGATTATCTAAAATACTATATACAGTAAAAGTACAGTGGGGTTCAAGAGTCCACATTGATCTAAAAAAATCTGGAAACAAATATAAAGCTTATCATTTTTAACCATTTAAAAATAATTTGTGAACATTTTAATATATTTTTATTTATTTATAAAATTATGGTGTTGAAAATAGAATGTATATATTTTAATTAATATATTTTATTTATACATTTTAATCAAATCAATTAAATTTAAGTATTATTTAAAAATATTTAAAATGATTCTTAGACATCTTTATTATCTTATTAAATGAGAAAAATGCAAATAGTGAATAATTTTCATTAGTGATCGCAGACCTTTGAACCCCACTGCATGACATGTGAAATGGTCTGTTTCAGCTTTGAAATCACTAATCATAATACACATTTAATAATACAAATGTTCTTTCTCACCATAATAGTAAGGATGTGCTGAGTGCGGCTCTCATAGTCCAGTCGATCTGCTGTGTACATGACACCAGTACCAGGATTGATCCTAAACATCCGCATGCTCGCCGGATCAACGCTGCCATGGATAGAATAGCTCAACTTTGACCGTTCATCCTTGTCCCTGGCCCGGACACGCAAGACCTCAGTGTCAGCTGGAGTATCCTCAGACACCAAGACTTCATATGTACGCTCAGAGAAAATAGGACTGTTGTCATTGCTGTCCAAAACCTTTATGTAAATCTATAGATACAGCAGACGGAGTCATTTTTAGCTTTTCACAGAGACATTCAATCTCAGTTAAACAGATGCATGAGTAATCTACACAATAGGCACTTATGTCAAAACAGCTTAAATAAGAAACAGAAAACGCACATGCTAGAGTGACAATACAATGTAGGTTTCTGGGACACTGGAATACTCAGCAGCCCCTGGCATATCTGAAGACATTTTCAGTGAAGATTATATAGATATCTCTTTCACACAGCAAACTTGTATTGATAAAATTAGATAAAAGCTGGCACGCTGCTTAAAATCCTACAGACGTTTCCCTCTTGGATATTTCAACCACAGCTGCCAGGAATATTCGTTTTGCAAAGTTTCTGGCAAAGTTAGCAGACTTGTAACATCTGTTAGGAAAAGTTTCCAAGAGGTTTGCATAACTAAAAATACACCTACCTGTGTAGTAGCAGTGTTTGTCCCATCTGTTACCTGTACCGTCATGTTGTATAGCGACTGTGTCTCTGCATCGAGAGGTCTGGCTATTACTATGGTCCCCATCCCTCTCTGAATATCAAATGGACCATCATAGTTACCTATTACACCAAGAAATCACAGTTAGCATGAACTGAAAAATGAAAAGTGATAGAAAATGCTTTGCATGCATTTATAAATCCAACGAAGAGGTAAAGGTTTAGCAGAAAAAGATCAAGGTAAACACTCAACCAATCGAACTGTCATGCAGTTTGGCACATCTGTGAGTAATACATTTTTTATGTTTCACAGTGATTCATCAAAGTTTCACGGTTTTCGAAAGATCAACCGCTTTATGTTGGGATCTTTCCCATCAGCCTCAGGTCTCTTATCTTCGACTCCCACAAACATCTGTGTCAAGTTCAGGCCTCTTCACGGCAGATTCTAAAATCATTAATTCAGGTCCATTCTGGCGGATAAGGGCAAACTTTCTGAGCATCTTTAGTATGCATTGCATGCATCTGTTCCAATTCCACTCAATTTCCACTGCACTTAAATGAGATCAGAAGACCCAAAGTCTGGAAGGTATCTCAGCACTCAAAGTGTTTACAGGATTGAGCGCTTCACGTTTGCCCTGCAGCAAATGGAGTTTTTAAAGCGAGTATCTAAAAGTATCAGATAAACCAGCCAACCCTTCACGCTTAGGAAAATAACTACAAAATACTGACAGTTAGCCTACCACTGTCAGATGAACAGTTTCCACCACAGGAGCTCTGTGGGATATAAAACATCTCCCGGGACGTTCTTCCACCTTCTCAGAAACAGATACAGATGAACAGAGAGAAAAAGAAAACAGAAAACTGACATTGAAGTGAAAAGCTCATATTAAACTAAACAAATTCAAAAACAACTAGTTTTAAAATGCTAATTCATTCAGGAGTTTTCCAACTAAAATTTACACAACCAATTCCAACATGTGGGACAACATCTGCAAAGCTCAGCGAAATCCCAAATACTGAGAGGGTTTAATCAAAATGACCCTCTTTGCATATTTTAGTTGACTAACTCAACCATCCATGCATCTTCTGTTGAGTACAAAGTATAGATGCAAATGATAAATATGTAGAAGAGCTGTAAGCAACAAGCAAATGGAGTAAATCATTGTCAGAATAGTTTACCACAGATATCCACTCCTTTAAATTACATTTACATTTACTCATTTATCCGCATGGTTTTATCCGAAGTAACTGAGGAATGCTACAACACAAGCAATTCATCCAAAGCAGACAGTAACATCAGTAATATCAGGGACATTAAAGATTGCATCCCGACTTAATTTATGACTGGGACTGCTGCATTATTGATGCTCACCAATGATGTCGAACCATAAAGGAGTTTCTGTCTGCCAAACAGAGACCACTCCAACTGACTCATACACTTTGGCGTTTTCCGCCACTGTGAAGTTGTAAATGGCTGCGGTAAATCGCAAGGCTAGTGGCGAAGGCACGGGCTTCCGAATCCATTCAACATGCAAACGGGCGGTCGACCACTTCTGAAGGGTTCCAGTGTCAATGGCTTTTATCTGAGAAAATATGAAGTAAATATGAAGGCTGAAAACTTTATGCTGCTTTAAAGAAAAACTTTCTTTAATATCCACTGAATTGCCCATCTGTATGGTACTTTACCGTGAGTATATCATAGCCACCAGCTGTGACCATCTTCCTGGAAGACACCATGGCTGTCTTGGCATCGATTACGAATTTGCCGTCGTCATTCCCATCCACGATGCTGTATGTGAGATCTGCATTGGACCCTTCATCTCGATCGTAAGCGAAGACTCTGTAGACAGGATCACCGCGTTTGTTACGGTCCCGCTCCGGAAGGCTGATGCGGTACACAGACTCTTTGAATTCAGGCGTATTGTCATTCTCATCTTGAACATGCACTATCACCCAGACAGTGGACTGCCTGAAGATCCCTCCTCCATCCATAACTGTAACCTAGATAAACACATATAAACAAAATTATGGTGAAAAATGCACAGCTTCTGAAGATAAAGTAAGCAGTGGATTTTAATTTCAGTGCCAATATTCAATATTAACAGGTCAAGGAAGCTGCAAATGGAGTTTTAACGTTTCCTTGTTGTCTCTTCATACCTTCATTCATGCAATCATGTACATATCTTTTTTACTCATGTCTTCATGACTTATATGTATAATATATATACTTATTATTATATATATATATATACCCAAATTATATATACTACCCTTCAAAAGTTTAGGGTTAGTAAGATTTTTTATTTGAAATAAATGAATATTTTCTTCAGCAAAGATTAGTTAAATTGATCTAATAAGACTGTAAAGACCTTTATAATGTTACAAAAGATTTCTATTTCAAATATATGTTGTTCTTTTTATTAATTTTTATTCAAACATTATGGATTCTACAAAAATATGAAGCAGCACAATTGTTTTCAATATTGATAATAATAAATGTTCCTTGAGTAGCTAGTCTGCATATTAGAATGATTTCTGAAAGATCATATGACACTGAAGCCTGGAGTAATGGATGGTGAAAATTCAGCTTTGCCATCAGAGGAAAATATTACATTTTAAAATATATTAAAATAGAAATTATTATTTTCAGTTGTAGTAATATTTTGCAATACTAGTTCCTATATTTTTTAATCAAATGAATGTAGTCTTGGTAAGCATGAGAGACTTCAAAAAACATTTGAAAAATCTTGCCAACCTCAAACTTATGAACTAGCATTTGATTTGCATCTATTAATTTGGACAAGTACCTTTTCGTTTTTATACAATCAAAACAAAATACTTTGCCATATATACATATTGCACATTTTAGAGTATATTTTACTTCTGTTCTTTAAATCTTGTAACTCATCCCATGCCATTTGTACTGACATAAATGAAAGCTCAAGTTAAGCAATCAACCAGATTTCTGGCAAGTGGACATTATAACAGGCAAAAAAATCTCAGATTTACATTAGAGGAGTGACTCCAGCCATATCTAGGTCCTTGAGGATGGCTTCTTTTGACTTGGGCCAGTATGTGACCATTTAGCAACTACCCTAGAAACCCCACAGCAATAAGCCAAAAACCATTCACACACCTTAGCAACTTCACAGCAACTCTACATCTCTCTCTGTTCTCCAGATAAATAAAAAGACTAAAATGCCTATAAACAAAACTGTCCCTACTCAACCTCTATTTAAAATAAATGAATAGAAAAATACATCAATACAACGTGCTCTTTTGAAAACAACACAATGAGCCAACTGATCTCACTCTTCTTCATGGAGCTCCACTGGAGATTCCCAGAACTTGATCAGACAGTGGCCACAAAATTGGGGCCTGGGGCTTATTACACCACTGCAAAAGTCAGAAGCAGCGGCTCATGAAAGCCTCTACGAACTAAATCTTTAATGGCCACTATCCGCCGTCAGCGCCACATGCTGGAGATGCTGATGCCTGGGTGGCTGTCAAAGCAGGCACCTTGAGGCACTAGATGTAAGATATGAACTTTGAAACTTGAAGCCTGCTGCAGAGTGAATCATCATTTAGTGAACACAAAAATCAATGGCCCTCATTCCGCTCGGTCCATGTAGAGCAGGGATCACAGGGAGCCACACCCATCCCATTGATCAATGCTACTGTACTGCCCTCATTGACTGATCAGTAATTTAAGAGCTGCTCACCAGACTGTATGAAAATTTGCACATCTGCACATGTTTTGGTGTTAAATAAGAGTCCTTGGTCAGTAAGTACTGGCTTTATCCTCTCTGTCACTCATAATGCAAATGTAGACAAGTCATTTGCTGTACTGCACCTCATTATAAGACATTAGAAATAAAAAAGCACATGGAAACACTGTTGCCTTTACATGTGCAAATCCATTCCTCACTCGATACTACAACTGATTCTCCTTTTATTCAAATGAACTCAATAGGTTACTGGTAGCATCTCGCTATTTCGTTGGACAGACAAATGTGTTCCTAAAACAGATCAATAAATAAGTCAGTGTGTATCCTGTATGATGATAATCAATAAAATTCTTGAGGCTGTTGATGGGTAATCATATTAGCCTGCTTTGTACAGGAGTTACATCATAGTTTTGTCACTTATAACTATTACATGACTTTATTTTATGAACTAATAAGACTGCCCTTGAGAATCGATGAATCAATGCATTTGCTCTTAAAGGGATAGTTCACCCAAAAATAAAAACTGTTACTATTTACATGCATTCATGTCATTACAAACCTGTATGTTCTTATTTTATTCTTATTCTTATTTTATCTTTTTTATTTTTTTCAATTTAATATAAAAGAGGAATTATAAAGAATGGACATGCTCCTCTTTTCCATACAATTAAAGTTCATGGCTGTCAAGCTCCAAACAGTACAAACCATAAATACACCATAAAATACAGTATACCAGGGGTGGGTGATATACTGGTAGAAATTTGTCAACCGATTTTAGACTATGGTCTTTATCTCAGTTTCACGCTCATGTGAGGTTGCTGTATTACGTGGTCATTTTTAAGCATTGTGGTTTATAAACAACTGAGCCATTGAAACACAATTAGCAGCAAAAGAGAACTTATTTCTCTATATGCGTGCGCTGTCTGAGATACTGTTTTTGAGCACTGTCAGAGAATCGCGCGCACATGAAGACGGTGCACATAGAGCATGGGAGTATTGAACCGGAGTTATTTTTGCTTCTTTATAGGCCTTGAACGGTTAAATACACACACTTGTTATATGTGTCAAAATTTCGTCTTTGCAAGTATCCTTATAAAACAGTAATTTAGGTCTTAAGTGAAAGCAAACATGAGAAAGAAAACACATGTGTAACAGTATATTGGATCCGGGCAGCTCTTAAAGTAACAGCAGTCTAATATCCTGCTGTCTGTCATGTTAATCAAACAACAAAAGAGAGAAAATCTCTCACTGCTCTTGACTAAATCACTTTTTACAATTTACACAGTGAAGAATATGCAGTGTTTTTATACATTTGATTATTTTATACAACGTATGTAGCATTTCTTATTTATTTGTTCTTTAGTTGTTTTGTCCTATTGCTTATAATTAGTTTATTGTTCTTATTTAATCGCTGATTGTTTACTTGTTTTCAGTGAGCTTGAGATTTTTATTTTTTTTATTTAGACTAGTATTAGTTTTTTTTTATATATATATTTACTGATACTGGTGGCAAGAATTATGACATTTCAATGGGATCAAAAATTTTTATGTCATAAAGACCTTATTTAAATAACTATATTGTGATATATATCAGTACCGTGAAATGAAATTACTCATATTGTGATATAAGATTTTGGTCATATCACCCACCCCTAGTATGTATGCAACTCTATATATTCCAAGTCTTCTGAAGTCTTACAATATTACTCAGGAAATAATTTAAGTAATTTTTCACTGTAAATCGTTCCCTCAATTCAATTTCATGTTCAAATTCAAATACGACTGTTTAACGTCATCTGTCTTAACATGTAATGTAGGTTGTCTTTTGATAAGAGCTTTGTCTTTCGTCTTTTTTTAAGCTTGAAAGCAAAATGCAAATATAGTATATTAATCAGCACAGCTGTTTTCATCATTGATAATAATAAGAAATTATTCTTAAGCACCAAACCAGCATATTAGAATGATTTCTGAAACATCATGTGACACTGAACACTGCTAATCAGCTTTGCCATCACAGGAATAAATTAAATTTTGGAATATATTAAAATGGTGATATCAAGATGGAATATCCCAAACTGAACTTCAAATGGAAAGCATCATTAATAATGGCAGTGTTTTCTTTTCTTGTTTAAATTACCCCTTTAAGGCACGATCTGACAGGTAAAGAAGAATTCAGTACCTCTAAGAAGTGCTCTGCTTGTTGCTCTCTGTCCAGTTTCCTTGATGTGGTGGTGATGAGTCCTGAAAAACATTTTTTAAAAATGATAAAACTGAATAAGCTGCAAACTTCTTTGACAACTGTGCAATGAAAGAGCTGCAACAATCAGCATGGAAAGCCGCTCCACTCGACAATGATTAATAACATGTCAGCAAGGGTGCATAAATTTGCACAACACTGTTTGTTTATTGCATAAAAAACAGCAGCTCACGACACAAGGGCCTTTGGCGTAAGCCCGCAGATGGAATGTGGTGAATGCATAGGGTTATTTTTCAAACCCCTAGTGGCTTTAAAAACACTTCAATGCAGACAGAACACCAAAGATTGAGAACAGGAAGACATTCCTGAATATGAATGCTTCCTTAAGGCACAAGACATCTGGATGCTGGAGTCTGAAGGTAAATAATTTTAAGCAGGTCTATGGGTTAGAGTCAGACAACAAATCCTGCTGTGGATTTACTGACAAGCTGTAGAGAAGAGGGCTTGAGAATCTTAAAAATATATTTACCCATCCTCATCTCGTTCAAAGCCCATATGACTTTGCCTCTTCCGTCGATCACGAAAAGAAAAGTTTGAAGAATGTATAACTTATATTTGAGTCAGTTTCAAAAGAGTCATCCAGAGTGTGCACATCAGTAATATGGATGACTATGGATGACACTTTTGTGGTGTTTTTGCATCCTTTTTGAAGAGTACATATCTCCTTCTGTGTTCCACAGAACAAAGTGATATGTGAAATTTTCTTCGAATCTGTTTTTAAAAAGTATATACACCATGTACAAACATACTGCAAATTTCATCATTTTGTAGAACACTGCGACCATTTTAGCACAAGTTCCCATTATTTACCTAACATAAATGTATTGTACGTGCTTTCTGAGCCAGTGATTCTCTGTGAAATATAACCATGGCAACAAAAGAACTCCTGATGGCACAGGTTGAATTGCACTGCTGGAATCCACAGTATTCCCTAATGTGTGTCATCCAGAGAGACTCAATTAGAGAAATTAGAGAAGCTATGAACTCACAGAGCCGATGAGAGACTGAAGCACAACAAGGAAAGGATTTTCACTCATAAGCCATTCATTCAAGTATAAAGATATTGTCGGGAGGACATTTGTAACGAAAATAATTCGTACAAGATATGACTCTATTAGAGGCAAGCGCTCTAAACTAATAATCAAACATGCACTCTCTATTTTCAGGGTGCAGTAATTGGTTGCTGGCTTAGTCACAGCACATTTGTTTTTATAGAAGAGCTCACAATGCAATTTATTTAACACTTAGGCTGAGTTCAATAGACAATCACAAAAAGAGAGCTAGATAAGTGGGGAGCAATTACAATGGATTTTTCCCAGCAGTGGCTGAAGCTAAAGTAGAATCTATGACTGCAGTCCACGGTCAAACTATAAAACCTTCAAGGTTTGATACTTTTGGGTTGATTCGGCCATAATTTCATTTCCTTCCACATATTGTTTGTCATATATTTCATATATTTCATCCTTGAACACTCAAAGGCTTTCATATAGAGTGAAATACAGTGTTACCTCTCTGCTCACTACATATCAATGCATGCACACACTCGCTCACATATCATTATATATATCAAGTAAGATTTATTGAGCTTAAACCTCTGTATTCCAATGTAAATATGTGGTGCCACATGCTGCCTTGGAGGAATTTGCCAATAGTAGAATGAAAAGCTTTCCTGCTGGCAACCAAACCTTGTTTAATTCATTCACTGACTACAGCTGCATACATAAGCTCCCATGACTCACTTCTCAAATGACAAGGAAAGCAGCACCTCGGTGTAATCAGCAGTGCAGCATGCACCCAGCATGACATGGGATCAGAGCTCTGCATGTGTGTTAACACTTCACACTAGAATGTCCTGACACTGAGCAGATTACAGCCTGTGCTGCTCAGTTTGTTTAGTAGTACTTGTGAAAGAGTTCGCGAACGCGATAGATGGGAGATTGGACTGGGGGACAGTGTACTGAAATTTCAAACGAAAATATGATCAAAGATTATTTGCTCATATTCAGAGGGAAATAAATTATTTATTATTTATTTCCTGTAGATCTGCTTATTTTCTGTAGGTTGAAAATGTAAATGATATAAATGTATGCAGTATAATCTCATATATTACAAATGTTTTATTTTTATATTAAAAATGTAAATGACAAATTTGTGCCATATAATCTCACATATAATACTAAATTCTTATTTTTATATTAAAAATGTAAATGACAAATTTGTGCAGTATAATCTCCTATCCCTAGTAAAAAAGTAATATATTTAATACATTTATTTCATACTAAGTATAGTTCAAATCTATTACTGACTTATCGCTCAAGACTTACTGATATAAAAATTATAATTAAACTTTATTTGGAGTACTACTTGTGCACAATGCAAATTTCTTAATATTAAGCCTAAAATGTGTTTTAATGTCACTATTGATGAGGACTGTATGACATTTGAATAATATCAGTCTTTAAATGCAAGATATTTTACTTGCAATAGTTCCACTTTAACACAATCAAATTTATTTTAGTATATCTTTAGTTAGACTTCAGCACTACGTTTTTTATTTGTATATTAAAAAATGTAAGTTGCATAAAATGTAAACTGCATACATTTACATGCATTTATACAGATCACTTATAAATTCCTAAATAAATGTATTGTGTTCATTTAGAAAGTGCATCAAAGAACTAAATGTAATAAATTAATCAGACACTTAATTAACAAAAGTCTATAATTAAAAGTTTTGTCTTTCATCTTTGAATTACCTTCATAATTTAAATCCTTATAATTTCCAGAAAATATTGATATATGCAACTAAATGTGATTTGCCTAATTTAGCTGTAATTAATTGGAAAAAAAAATATTTGCAGCATTGGTAATATAATGAAAAATAAAACATTTTATGAAGTCTTCTGTTTCTTCATAGAGCAAAAAAAAAAAAAAAAAAACTCAGTTTTTTATTACCTGTGTTGGAATCAATGGAAAAGAAGTTCTGAGGATTCCCAGCCGTGATACGATACATGAGACGGCTATCTGAGGCGGTAACGTCCGGGTCCCGGGCTTGGATACGGACCACAGACACGTCTTTGGGAGAGTTCTCCATGACGTACGGGTGGTAGACGGGTTCAAGGGTCAAAGGTGCATTATCATTCACATCCTCCACCTGGATAAACACCTCAATAGAGGCAGAAAGCGGCACCACGCCACGGTCCGTTGCATACACCGTTAGCCAGTATGAATCCTGAGTCTCGCAGTCCAGGCTGCCAGTGGTGTAAATCATTCCTGTAAGAACAGAGAAAAAACATATTTAATATCGATCACCTGTTTAATGAATTCAACAAGAAGTACTTCACACACTTTGTGAGCTTTTATGACATTTTTTATGACACATCAACCACTATCAGCACTCTGGTCTGAGTGAGCTGGGAACATTCACTTATTTTTCAAGCTATCCATAATTTGGTTTGTGATTCAACTACACATCAAAAGCATCCAACCCTACCATGAGTCAAACTTTGGTGTCAGACTTTATTAAACTGTAATGTGCCTAACATTTTGAGGAGATTACAGTCAGGCTGAAAGATTAATGTTTTTAGACACACACTCCCAGAAACCAGAGTCAGTTCAGCAGAGTGTTTCAAAATCAGAGCTGGTGTGGTCTGCCTAAAAGTGTAATTTCTCTTCAGATTTTCTCCGGGGAAATTTACTCAACTGTCAACGATACCTGAGACCAACCTAAAGCAATTTAGTGAAAATGCTTTTTTTGCAGAGGTTTGTTCTCTTACTACAGTCTATTGCCCACAACTCAATTGTGAAACGATTAGATGCATATAAAAGCATCTGCAATAAATGATTCAATGTGGCAATGAGCTATATAGAAATCACTGTTATAGGGTTCAAAGGGGCTAGTTGTCACAAAAGGTTTTCTACAATTTATAGTAAAGTCTTTCTACATATTGTGTGAATGTAGTATTTCCTAAAGATTTGCATTTTGTGTAGATTAAAAATGTAAATTACATACAGTTATGCATTATAATATAGGCCTGTCAATTTAATGTTAATTTAGTGATAAATTCTAATATATGATAAATTAACCAGATGTATAATTAAGTCTATAATGAATGCCTCTGTTTATGCTAATAAATTAAATCCTCATAAAACAATTTGCAGCCCTAGTTGTACAATGTAAACCGTAATATTTTATGTTCGAAAAAAAAAATACTGTGGTGATGTAATACAGTACATGAGATGTGTGACAACAAGAAACAGAAATTTACTGAAGTGAAAAGTGTGACAATTAGCCCCGGTCTCCTCTATTTGACATTGTGTCAAACAGTCTGTTTACACTTTAGGTGTAATACAGTTACACTTTGCAGGGGACATGTTTGCTGAGCGGACAGATTTTTAGTCCAATCCGAACTGACATCTTGGACATACCACTAACTTTAGATGGGCTGGGAATCCCACCGCAGGGTACAACAGCTCCACTCAGAGACTGTATGACCTTCAGGTCTTCAGCACAGCACATCTAATCATTCCTGACCAAAGTGCTGGCTCTGCCATTCTGTGATTAGGAGCACTTCGACATTGCATCACGGGCCCATGTAAATACGATCACTGATCGGAAGGGGCATCGCTGACAGAATGACCCATTTCGTGGCTGTGCAATGCAATGCGATGAGTCGATCGGTCAACCATGGCACAGAACAAAACCACCCGGCCGTGAAGTGATTCAGCCGAGGGGATTCCGACCGAGTACTCCGAGTACTCACACAGCATGCAGGTCCCTGATTCTTACTAAAACCTTAAAAGCATTGAGAAGTAGGACACCCGAGGGGACAAAGACACAAAGGATATGGGTAAAAACTAAACAGGGACATCTGAAGCTGACTGAATGGTTGCTCAGTGAGCTAACGCAGTGTGACGGGTCCGATTGCCTGAAGGAAATCTGCTGCATTCACAATACACATCTTCAAAGAAAAACAAAACAGTTCCTCTTCTTTTACTTTTTAATCAACCTGTTAAACAGAGAGGGAGACCACAAAACATACAGATGAAGCAGACAAACACTGTCTCAAAAAGCCTCATTCACTAATAATTTTGTGTATAATAATTTGTGTATGTTCTAGTTGTGTAACGTTATACGTATTCGTATACGTTTCCTCTTTACTAACACGAAATAAACATGAATGAACAACTCATGCCTCATTTAATCCCTCAATCAGTCTTTCAACCGCGTAAAGACGTCAATAAAACAGTTTGTAAACAAAATGTCACGTAGCGTTTCATTTACTTCACGCAAGTCATCAGTGTCCACAGCTCTTTAGTTCGCTAGAGAAATGAAGTCTAGCGAAGAGCATTCTGCGAAATATTAGACTCATTGTATTTTACTTTACCTGTCTTAATACACTGAACAAAATTATAAATGCAACACTTTTGTTTTTGCCCCCATTTTTCATGAGCTGAACTCAAAGATCTGAGACTTTTTCTATGTACACAAAAGGCCTATTTCTCTCAAATATTGTTCACAAATCTGTCTAAATCTGTGTTAGTGAGCACTTCTCCTTTGCCGAGATAATCCATCCACCTCACAGGTGTGGCATATCAAGATGCTGATTAGACAGCATGATTATTACACAGGTGTGCCTTAGGCTGGCTAAAAATATAATTTTTTTAAGTTGAGTTTTGATTTATTGTATTTAAAAATAAATAGTAATTAAATTTAAGTTTGGGCACTGTTGTTAATTGTAAGGAAAAGATTTTTATCCCTATCAAAATTTTTATTATAATTACATTTTTTAAAGAGCAAGCAATTTGTTCAATAAAACGCTTTTTTATTAAGAAAAAAAGCAATTTTATGTTTAGTGTTTTGCTTAGTGTTTGTTTTCCCCATGTTGTAGGCTACTGAAACCATACCGAACCTGACGCCAAAACCGAGGTGCGTACCGAACTATGCAAAATTTCAGACGGATTCACATTTTGCATTCTATTGCATGTCCGCATTCTAATGTTGAATCTGGATTATAATGAGGGAGCACTTGCCCACAGATAGTAATTTGCATAAAATATACCCAAACTATGACCTATGACCCAGACTACACTCTAAAAAATGCTGGGTTATTTTTTAACCCAAAATTCTGGGCTGAGTCTCTTGGGTCATTTTGTTGGGTCATTTTATCACATTTTAAACACTGTTGGGTAGTTTAAATTTTCCAGGTGTTGAGTTAAACCTGCTGGGTTGCAACGCTGCGTTATTTAACGACCTTCGCGCCTTGAAGATGTTTAAATCGCTCCCCTAACTGTCATTTTGAAAGGACAACGGGGCAAAGGCACTGTTTTCAACTGTTTTAAGGTAAGTTTATATAATGTTTTAATTAATAATTATTTTAAATTGGCAGAATTATAACTTTTATCGCGTCAACAATATTGTTAAACTTCTACAGGCCAACATTAGTTATGTTAAATGACGAACAGTTTACCTCAGACTGCCATTCTACACGTACTCGCATAGTCATGTTAGGTATGTGAGATGACAGATTAATACAGTTTTATTAAGTATCAGACAGTGACAGAAGGATGAAATATGTGAATATCTGTCAAAATAGAGGAAAGAGTCGTTTCTGTCACTGAAAAGCGAATTTAACAAAGTGAGTCAAATGAGTTAAAATAAGTGAATACGACTTTCTGCTCTAATGTAAACGCCTGCAATTGTCTATATCGACATGTAAATTACATACAAAGTACGTACAATCAGTATTGGGGAAAGTTACTTTTAAAAGTAATGCATTACAATATTGCGTTACTCCATTAAAAAGTAACTAATTACGTTACTTAGTTACTTTTTATGGAAAGTAATGCGTTACATTACTTTTGCGTTACTTTTTAAATCTGGACAGGGTTTTCTTGTTTGTTTTTAAATTAAAAAAGTTATATTTTGGCAAATATAAAAGCCTTTTCACACCAAAAGTGAAATGAGTAAGCCTCAGGCTGAAGGGAAAGTAAATTTACATCCGTACAGTAGAATGCAGAAGAAATTTCAACACACTTCAGCAATAAAAAAAGCCACACAAATGTTTGTCTAGAGTAATTTGTGCCTATTAGTATGGTTGAACTGGATCATCGAAGGTCAGAAGCAAAGACATTGGTTAATAGAATGGCATTAAATACATAAAGGATATTTGTGTTGTTTAACATTTAATTATTGCAGGTTTGCGTCATATTCTGAGTTGCATTATTTTTATTCATTTAGAGGAATACTGAATCTGTTTTTTTTTTTGTGTGATCACCTCCCAATACAAACACGCCCCATAGTATGGTCCCACCCCTGACACAGATTGACAGGTTTCCATGTGAGGCATTGGAAATTCAAATGCTAAAGTAATTGCGATTCCATTTGAGTTTTGGTAGGTTACATGTGCGACACAGTGAAAAAGCAGACGTGGTAATTAATAACACCCGATGTACTTGTTCTTATGATGCATCTACGCTAACATTAGTCTGTTTCATTCTTATTCCGAGGTCACCGTAGCCACCTGGATCCAGTCTGTATCCAGATCAGATGGTCACTGCAGTCACCCAGATCCAGTACGTATCCAGCCCAGATGGTGGATCAGCACCTAGAGATGACCTCTACAGCTCTGAATGTCAGCGGAGACCAGGACAACTAGATGAGCCCCAAAGACTGATCCCCAGTGAAGACCACGTCACCTCGACGGTCATCGACACAAGACCATGGGAGCCAGATGAGTCCTCTGCACAATCTGACTTTGCTGCAGCCTGGAATTGAACTGCTGGTTTCATCTGGCCAGAGGAGAACTAGCCCCCCGACTGAGCCTGGTTTCTCCCAAGGTTTTTTTTCACCATTTCTGTCACCAATGGAGTTTTGGTTCCTTGCCGGCTTGCTTAGTTGGGGACACTTAATATCCAGCGATATCGTCAGCTTGAAAGCACAGATACTATTTGAACTGAACTGAGCTGGACGATGACATCACTGAATCAATGATGAACTGACTTTAACTGAAAACTGAATGTTTACTGTTGTCCTTTTGCATTATTACACACTATTTTCCTATTTAATACTGTAAAGCTGCTTTGACGCTGTATTTTTAAAATATGACAGGCTCATTACTCATAATACATGGAAAATGCTGTTGCAAATGGACTTTGCTTTTCCATTTGAAATTTGGCAGTCACTGTGCATTTGTGAAAACGCAAACAGTAATGCAAGATTTGCAATTGTGTTTGGATTATGTCACAATTTGTCACATGTGGAAAACACAATT